CATCTTTGTGTATTTCAGCTTCTGCATGTATACGTGTGACTTATTTATGCCCGAATTTGTTCCAAAGATTTAAACAGCTTTTATTAGAAGGGAGTACAGTTTCCAGCCTCTCAGTTGAAAGTGGTGAATAGTAAAAATTATTATCTAACACAACCTATACCGGGATCTGTTACAAATTGTGTATATGTTTTCACTCATTTATTCTCCTGGTAAAACCCTGTAAGGGAGGTACTATAAATATCTCCATTTGCAAATGAGAAAACTGAAGCACAGATAGGTTACCAGGTAGAGGTCAGCACCAGCTATTCTATAAGTAAGATGAAAGGCAGAACCTCTTCAGCAAGTAAGTGTGCGACAAATAGCACCCCCAAACACTCTCACCCTCTCATCGTGTACATACACTGGAAAAACTGCCACTATATATGTGCGCAACACATTGTCAACAAAAAAGTGAAAAAAAATTAAGATAAGCTTTTATGAAGAATCATTTAGCTGCTTTTTAGAATAATCTTTGGAATATAAACTAGCCTTGATGTTCAGTGTTTTCCCTGCATCCAAAGAAATGTAACAGCATATGTGTAGGCTGCCATCTTTTGGTCAGTTTCTAGAATTACCCTTTATGTTCATAAATTTTACTGAAGCATGGGATGATTGAAGTGGCCCATTAGCCTGACATGGGATATGAATATGATTTCAGGAGTCAGTTTATACATATAAGACAAGACATGGTTTTTTCATGACTTCGTCTAACCAGATGAATATATTTTACAGACCATGTTGCTTCAGGGTATAAGACCTCTCAGCTGTGGGGATATGATTGCACTCTGTAAAGAAAACTTGCCTCTTGTGACCAGGTAGCCAAATGAGTAGGGCTGAAACCTACCTGCCTAACTCCCGGAGAGCTGCCTGCCCCGGATGCTGTGATGCACTACCCTGGCCCCTCTCTGCCCTGACAGACTTATTCCTCAGCAACTGGAGTCCCGCACGGGCAGCTCTAACCTACAGCCCTCTCTACTAGTACAAAGAGCCCTCATCACTAGCATACTCCTTCTCTGGGACAACCCACAGGCTGGAACTTCCAGATGTAGGCAGGAGCTGTAAATGCTAGGCTGCCTCTCTCCACCAGGGACAACTTAAAACAGCCACCTCAATTGGATAGCTTCATGGGTTTAGAGGAGGCCTCTGTTGTGACTACTTACAACCCAACTTCTGCAGGTGTCCGCTCCTGCTTCTGTCCTATCTCCACAGGTAGGGGAAAACCCGGAAGTTTACCCCAGTAATCGTCCTCCATAGGGATGTATATCTCTTCATGGACTTATCTACCTGCAACACGCATTATACACAGTCTGCAGTTCAGACCTCTTTGAGGAGGATCTCTGGGGCGTTATCTCTGGTTAATGTTGATAAGATACTGTTTTGTGGTGCATCCCTGATAAAAATCACAAATGAGTGTTCATGGGTTTTGCATCGAACCTATGAATTCTGGCTTGAACAGATCATTCCATTGAATCAGGTCCTACACACTGACATTACACTTTTCTTCTTTGGGGAGGAATTATTTGCCTGGCAATTGTGAGATCTCTTCAGTCCTATTCTTGTTCCTTAAATGTGTTGCTGTTCATTCTATCAGTTGCTTGTCACACATGTCAGCTTCCACAGTCCCCTGAAATGTTACTTAGTCTTACCGGTACATTTATTCTATCATCTTGTTTCTCATACCTTCACAAATTAGCGTTTTGTTTTACAATACCCAGTCTGCTCACGCTCCAGGTTTATAGTCGAAAGACAATTTCTCTCTCCTTTTATGAGATGCAAGGGAACTGGAAAATAGATTTGTCAGTATTTGTTTACCTGATAGCATTACCCGGCTTAGAATCGGGACATCTTTATTC